CCCGATTCGTTGTTGGCGTCTTGCATATCGATATCCTCCTCCGATTCCATTTCTAATTATCCAATCACTCACCCAATCAATTCAATTCAATTCAAAACCCTAGAAAGAACAGGCTGCGATCCAATGATGAATCAGCTACAGAATTGTTGCTAGATAGAAGGGAAGAGATGGAAATTGAAAGGGTCCAGAGGAACAAGAGAAGGTTTCAAGATGGCGCAAGGAAGGAAAAGGGAAAGTGGAGATGAAATCAGGGAGATGCAATAGTCGAAATTTCATTTTCTGAGCTCTTTCCTGGAGACGGGAAGAAGAGGAGGAGAAAAAGAATTCATAAAAATAGTTTTTTTTTAAATAAAATTAAATTGAATAAATAGTTAGCAATGAAATTTGCTTTGCTTTTAAATTTTAATTAATATTTCCATTGGCACCTGTCATTTGAGAACTAGCGGCAATAACCATCTCTGTGCATTCCTCCTCCTCGGGCTGGGTTCAAAACCTGTCCTTTACAAATATGTTTAAAAAAATTAATATTTCCATTGTGGGCGTTTGTCCATTATAGTATATATAAAAAATTTTAGGTAATTTTAAATTAATTAATTTTAAAATTATGATATGTTTTGTTTTTGTATCTTTTATATTGGTAAAAAAATTAATAAAAAATTTAATTATAGAGTTTATATTGTATAATAAAAATAATTAAATGAGAATTGCTCCTAATGATACAGCCTCCGCATCTAATTACATAACTAGTATAAATCAGAAGACATAAAATTCTTAATTAATTAAATGCAAATTTTTTTAGAATAAAGGAGGTATTTGAGAATGAGAAAAATAAGAAGACTAACTACAACAAAATTTTCTTTATCCCCTCCTACCGATTGAAAATGGAGGGAAGGAGAACAACCCTTTTCTTATGAATGATATATTTGTAATGACTTGTGTTATTATAAAATTGGATGGTACTGTAGAGATAATTTTTTTATACTACTTTTTGATACAATTTTTATATAGCATTAAATGAATAAATGCATTTCATTTCACGGGTTTCATATAAATAAAAAAGCCAATAATTTAAAAGATACATCAAGTTATATCAAAATATGGTATAAAAAGTTATTCCAAAATAATTTCCCTATAAAATTATAGTTATAATTGTTTATAAAGTATTATATAATTCATTTTTTATTTAAAATTTATTCATAATATTATATATATCTATTTACTTAAGTGATATATTATTATAAAATTATAAATTTACATAATATTATAATTATATCATTTTTGTTTGCACTTTATTACTATTGCTATTGTTGAGAATTTTCCTCTTTTTTTTTCAGTCAATTCTCCGTAAATTTTGCAACAATCAGTGTTGATAGATGGAACACAAGATGGGCATAACAAGAGAAATTACAAGCGAAATGTGTTGCAATGCCGTTTGCCTTTAAGCTTTATTCGTCCCCACCAAATAATATGATTCTATATGCAAACGGGTTTATGTTAAAAGGCCTCATGATAAAATGAATACTATTGTTTGATTAGGACATGCACACTATAAACGCATATTCTTTTTTGTACATAGTTTGCTAACTATTTTGTATTGTAGAATTGCAAAATTTTGAATCCATAATAGTGATCTCAAATCAAAATTTTTTAATTAGTGATTACTTATTTGGTTAAATTCTGATCAAATGCATATTTATTTTAATTTATACAAAAATTTTCATAACAAATATTATATGAATTTAAAATGTAAATTTTTTTAATATAGTAACTTGATTCAAATATTACTATGCTAAGCAAATCACAAGTTTTATCTTAAGATAAAATGAAGTTGACTCAAACTCACACCAAGCATGAAGGACCACTTCAACTATCTTACAACTTAAGCCACCCATGCATCATACCTTTACCCTTTTCCAAACCCATCACAGATGTTTCGCATTTAGAACTTAAATTAGAGACTTTTTTTGTTTTCTTAATGTCTGTTTTGTCAAGAAGCGAGAATGTAGAGTTTAAGGA